TGGTGATGGTGATTGATGGTGGTGATGGTGATGATGGTGGTGATGATGATGGTGGTGGTGATGATGGTGGTGGTGATGATGGTGGTAACAGTGGTGATGATGATGGTGGTGATGATGGTGGTGATTGTGATTGATAGTGATGATGGTGGTGATGGTGATGATGATGATGATGGTGATGGTGCTGGTGATGATGACAGTATTGATGATGGTTATGGTGGTAATGGTGATGGTGGTGATGTTGGTAATGGTGGTGATGATGATGATGGTGGTGATGATGATGGTGGTGATGATGATGGTGGTGATGGTGATGGTGGTGGTGATGGTGGTGATGGTGGTGGTGATGATGGTAGTGGTGGTGGTGATGATGGTGGTGATGATGGTGGTGATTGGTGGTGATGATGGTGGTGATGGAGGTGGTGATGATGGTGGTGATGGTGCTGGTAATGATGACAGTGTTGATGATGGTTATGGTGGTGATGGTGATGGTGATGGTGGTGATGGTGATGATGTTGGTAATGGTGGTGATGGTGATGTTGTTGGTAATGGTGGTAATGATGATGGTGGTGATGGTGGTGGTGATGGTGGTGGTGATGATGGTAGTGGTGGTGGTGATGATGGTGATGGTGATGATGTTGGTGATGGTGGTGATGATGATGTTGGTGATGATGGTGATGGTGTTGATTGATGGTGGTGATGATGGTGATGATAATTGTGGTGATGATGGTGGTGATGATGCTGATGGTGGTGGTGGTGATGATGGTGGTGGTAATGGTGGTGATGATGGTGGTGATGATGCTGATAGTGGTGGTGATGATGGTGGTGATGATGATGGTGTTGATGATGATAGTGGTGATGATGCTGATGGTGGTGATGATGCTGATGGTGGTGATGATGCTGATGGTAGTGGTGATGATGATGGTGGTGATGATGGTGATGGTGATGATGTTGGTAATGGTGGTGATGATGATGTTGGTGATGATGATGTTGGTGATGATGGTGATTGTGGTGATTGATGGTGGTGATGATGGTGATGATGATGGTGGTGATGGTGGTGATGATGCTGATGGTGGTGGTGGTGATGATGGTGGTGGTAATGGTGGTGATGATGGTGGTGATGATGCTGATGGTGGTGGTGGTGGTGATGGTGGTGGTAATGGTGGTGATGATGGTGGTGATGATGCTGATGGTGGTGGTGATGATGGTGGTGATGATGCTGATGGTGGTGGTGGTGATGATGGTGGTGGTGGTGATGATGGTGGTGATGATGATGGTGATGATGGTGGTGGTGATGGTGATGATGATGGTGGTGATGATGATAATGTTAGTGATGATGATGTTGGTGATGATGGTGATTGTGGTGATTGATGGTGGTGATGATGATGGTGGTGATGATGGTGATGATAATGGTGGTGATGATGGTGGTGATGATGCTGATGGTGGTGGTGGTGATGATGGTGGT